AAGAGCACAAAGACAAGTAAGCCAGGAAAGATGGGATGGAGGCCCACATGGCACGGAAAGCACCCCAGTGTCTCTGTCTGCCCTCCAGCCACTGCCCACTAAATGAAAAAACACTGGCAGCTGGACTGAGCTGGCAAGAAGCTGTTGAGGCTTGCCTTGCCAGCCAGTAGGGAGGGAGGTGGGTGAGGGGTGGCGGGGACAGCTCTGGGCAGAGGTGGCCTTAGAGGAGCCCAGTCCAACCCCACTCCTGGAGGTTGGGCAGAGAGCAAAAGCCAGAGACACAGGGGACACGTGTAGAAATCCCAGGAGAAGCGCCAGAGAACACAGGTTTAAACAGAGCGGCGCCCCATCCTTCAGGGTACGTCCCGAGGCGGTGGTCCGGGCAGGCGTCGCGCCGGCTGGCCCCTCGGGTCTAATCCCAAACCAAGCCGCTCTGCCGCGTTCTAGCGTCCCCTTCAAAAGTTTGTCCCCAAACAAAACCACCCACTCCGAGGGAAGCGGAGCCACCCGGGCGCAGGCTCAGGGGAGAGACAGCGCTGCTGCCCTCCTCCACCCCTTCGGAAACAACAATGGGAGACGCGCCGAAAAAGGACCAGGGAACCGAATGTGGAAAATCCCCCAATCTTGCAATGTCAACTGCGGGTGAGCGCTGCCGGCTGGCGGTTTGTCGTGGTGCTGCCCCCGCGCGCCGGGCCGCGGGACTGCAGCCCTCGGAGGAGGGGTTCGCTGGTTGATCTTCTGGTTCTCAGACTCTGAGGACTGATGGCGGGGAGGGAGGAAAAGCTTGCAACCGTGCTGTGAGGCTATTTTAGATTCAAAGGAAATTATGTTTCATTCCTAAAACTGAATGTTATGGCAGCTTGAACTTTCCAGGAGCTGAAGTACAATGACTTGTTTGTCTTTGATCCTCGGATTCTACTATTAGGCGTGTTCTTTTCTTTTTCTTGGACATTTCAGTCAGAAATCATACATTCAAGAATTTGAGCATTGTTAAGTTTGAACATTGAGGTGAACATTCAGGACGTAGCGAGCAGAGAAGCTACTGTTGCTTTGTTCTGAACTCTGAAAACCTCGGGGCTGGGCACCCCTGCCATCAAACATTTAGCCCTCCTTTTAGTCCACAAGTTTGGGACTGTGGGGAATATGTACTGGGCTGATCGAGTGAGGACCCAGGGGAAACCTCTGCCAGAAGCAAGTGTCGGGGCTTGGCAGTGCTATGGCCTCCTTGAAATCGACAGCTGTCCTTCAATTTGAGTCGTGTGTTTCTGCCATTTATTTGTCAGGGGATCACACTAAAGGCATAAGACTGGTAGGGAGGGGTACAGCCCGCATTCCATCCTGAGTCCATTCCTTCCCTGCAGCCCCTTGACTAATGAGTAGTGGCTCACCAAATGTCGGAGAGAAACGACAGTTGCCTACAGCCCGGGGTCTCCACGTGCAGGTGCAGTGCTTGAAATCAAAGGGGAAGACAGTAAAATGCTATCTTCAACTAGAAAGAAGATTTTCTTCCTCCAAGAGAAATTCTAGAAAGACAGGGCTCTCTAGGGGGTCCCCTATCAGGCACCTGTCAGGTGCAAAGGAAGCAACTTCACACAGAGCAGTTCATTCATGGGCCAGGCTGCCAAAGAGCTCTCAAAGCTCATGGGAGGGGCAGACTCCACTGGGGATGCTGTGCTAGGCCCTTCTTCCATTTCTGGGCCTCAGTTTCCTATTGGGACAGTGAAATTGTCACAAAATGGGGCACAGGCAAAGCCCAGAAGGCATGGGGGACTTGACAGTTTGCGCCGTTGGACACGCTGGACCCACACTGGTATCTCAGTAGAAAGCTTAGAAGTGGTCCTGGAAGCTTAGAAGTGGTCCCTGTAGACCCTCTCACTGCCCCCCCATTCCAGCCACCACTCAGGCCTTCCGGAAATGAGGTAGGTGCAGGGATGAGGGAGGATGGGGCCTGGGGCTGGGCCACTTAGGATGAGAGCCCCTGCTCTGCTGAATCTCACAGCTGGCTGGCCCTGGTGGACTCTTTCTTTCTTTAGCCAGGGCTGAGGAGCACACACAGGAGATGTGTTCAGGCTTTCTTCTCTCTGCTCTTGGGACTCAGGAAGAGACCACCAGGCTGCCACATGACCTTGGCGAAGGTCTCCACCTCTCCAAACCTGCTTTGTCCTCTGTAAAATAGGTGTCAGACACTGTGGGCTTGCTTCCAGGGTGGAAATGACATCTATGCAATGTCCTGCACCCCGCAGCTCTAAATAAGGAGCAGTCTTCCTTGTGAGTTACCACTGGGCAGAGGATTGCAGCAGGGGAAGGAGGCCTAGAGGGTAAGCCAGGGCAGCGGCGTCCTGCAAGTCTAGACTGCTGATTCATGCCACAACGTGAGTGGACAGAGGTGAGCAGAAGCAGGTACACAGCTTTGCCAGTTCCCACCCCCTTCCACCCCCTCAGCTGCAAGCTAGAGTGAGTCACGCCTGCAAAAGTCTGACCCAGCCACCCCCCAGCCTCTCTGGGCTAGGGTCAGTTTTAAAGCAGCTCCAGGATGAGCTGGGAGCAGTGGGATTCTAGATTCTGGGGAAGACACCACACCCCACCACCCAACTCAGGGGGGCTGCCGTCCTCTGTCTAGAGTGGATGTTCCTCTGCCCCTTTAGAAAACAGCAGGCTCCTCTTAGTTAGGTGTTACAGATGCTTTTTGCTTTTTGGTGTATGTTTTGCACATCATTTTTTATTTTTGTAACACATTTGATTTCTCCCCTCAGGTGTAATCCCCACAATTTCCCACCACCAAATCATCCGTGAACCATCACCACAGCCCCTTGTACTCCCCCTGCCCTGTTTTCTTTCCTTTCCTACCCTCTCCCCTGCTATGTCTCAGATCTATAATTTGCCTGCTAGTTTTGTCTTTTTTTTTCCTGATCCCTTGTTCAGGTTCCCTATAGTCCTCCTTTTTCTTTTTTCTTCTGACTTAGGTCACTGAGCATAATCCCCTCTAGGTCCATCCATATTGCTGTGGATAGCATGAGTTTGTCTTTTGATTGCTGAATATTATCCCATCATGTATATATGCCACATCTTCTTGACTTAGTCATCTGGGGGCATTTCATTTGTTTCCTTAGCTTAAGCTATTGTAACAATAAACATAGGAATGCAGTTTCCTTTCAAATTAATGTTTTTGTGTCTTTTGGGTGGAATTGCTGGGCCAAATGGAATCTCCATTTTTAGCAGTTTGCAGAACCTATGGAAAGCCATAGTGGTTGGACCAGTTTGCATTCCCACCAGCACTGTAGGAGACTTCCTTTCTCTCCACATCCTCCCCCAAGATTTATTGTCTTTTTTTTTTTTTTAACATGGGTGTTGGTGAGTCTTTTTCCAGATCTCTGAATTTGCCTAAAGAAGCCCTTTCTTGTGTGGTTTCATCTACAGCTGCCTCTTGAACAACACAACCACGAACATCACCAGTCTACTTTTACCCAGATCGGGTTCTGAATTCAACCAAACTTGATGCCCATTGCTCAGATATATGGAAGACAGGCTATGTTACAGCCCATTCTCCGCTGTCCAGGGTCAGAGAGCCCCAAACACCCTAGTTGTTCAAGAACTATCTATATATCAGTTTTATTGATGCATACTTGTTGCCATAAACCTTTTCAAATCCTTGCCCTGAAAACCCAACAGAACAGAAACCAGAAGACCTACTGGCAGGGGCCGGTGTGGACACTGGGACCTAGTTTGGCAGCACCTTCCTCCCAGAGTCCAGCTTGGCTGGACACCCCCAGCCACCCTGCTGAGATTCTGGACAGCCTGTTCTGGGAAATACCTCAGGCTCACTCAGCCAGCTCCTGTGCTGGGGCCACAGAATCTAACTGTGGCCTAACTGCCCATAATCTGCCAGCTATTGAGCGCTGGCATGGCAAACCCGGGGAAGCCTGGTCTGCCGCATGGGCCCCAAACTGGGCAGGCCCAGGGCCTCCAACCTCCACTCGAATACTGACCCTCCAAAGGGGGTCCTCTGGTGGGCCCTCACCATTTCCACATTGGCTCAACTTTTTGTAACTTTCTCATAGGAGTAAATAAACCTGGAGACAGAAATGCACATGAGCTAACTTCCTTTCTATGGAGTAGAGAGAGCAGGAAGCCGACTCTAAAGGCTCGGAAGCCCCTTGGGCAGCTCTTCCAGGGAGCCTCAGACGCCGAGGCCCAGGCGCCCGGGGGCCCAGCCGAGACCCCCGCCCACCACCTCCTTGCCCGGCCCACGCCGTGAGCAGGGACCTAGTACCCCCACCGGCCCCTGCAGTCCGGCTGGGCGCCACAGTGGCAGCCCCAGGGCGCCGCGTCCAAGGTCAAAACCATCCCTCTGGTGCAGGGGCACGCGGGGTCGGCGCCCTCAGCCCGCGCCCGCGCGGGGGTGCGAGACGGAGGAGTCGCCCGG